AACTTTATTTCTAGTGAGGTTTTTATAGGTTGTATTACAGTTAAATTTCCTGATATTTGTGGTGGGTTAGTAATAGAAATAGCTTTTGTGTTTTATTTTATGATAAGGATAGCGTGTACTGCATACAGGTGTTCAGTAAGGTCTTACATTTTAGTGGTTCTGAAGTGTTAGGGTAGTGTCACCTGGGGAGCCTTCAGGAAGGTCCCGGGAGCAGCTGATGTTAGTCTGGGAAGTAGTGAGGCGGTGCCAGGGTCCCCTCATGTTTCAGCAATGCCAAATGACTTTGTCTCCTCTTAACGCAGGCAGGCCCTGTGAGGACGGTGTCGGCCTCCGAGGGCGGCCGAAGCGTACGGGCCGAGGAGCCGGGCGCCCTTAGGAGAATGGTGAGTAGCAGGCTTGCTGGGTTTTGGCAGCTGTGCAGCTAAGATCGTGCAGTGACGTTTGGCGTTCCTGACCGTAGCCGTGACCGAGGGACCGCATCCCGGTGACTGCGGGAATTTCCCGGCGAGAGAGGCGACCTTCCTTGGCAGCGGACGTGGATTCTCCTCCCAGGATGTGCGAGAGATAAGTCGAGGGCTGTGACACGCAGAGGGGATGAAAGCGAGGTGCTGGGCGGGCCTTTTGAGTAGCTTCTTTGGCGGCAGGGGTGTGCGGGAGGTGGCCCCTTAGGCCCCATCGAGGAGAAGTCTCCCAGCGCTGAGGTGCTCAGGGCAGAGCGGTCTCGGTGTGTGTCACTGGTGTCACTTGTCTGTCGTGCCTTCTGTGTCTTTTGGATGTCTCGTGCCTTCAGTGTCTTTTGCCTTATTCCTTTGAGGAGGCTTATCATTTGTCCTGTTCTGTGTCACGGGTGTCTGGGTATGTGGGCCGAAGCCGCTCTGCCCTGCTGCAAAGCCTGGGGTAGGCATAATTGGACAAGTCCCTGGGGCCTGGAAATTTGGAATGCAGGGCGTAGGTGGGCTCTGGATGGGATTTATAGATCGAGGCAAGGTGCCTGGAGCTCTTAGGTTATCCTGCAGCACTCTGACTTTTGTCCTAACCTTCTTTCAGATGCAGCCGGATGAAGTGTGTGGCAGAGCGGCCCGTGCCGGGTGAGTGGGTTTCCCCGAGCAGGTCAGTCTGCGTTTGTCTTTGCAGGGGAAGCGTACGTGGTGACTCTGTGTTCACAGCATTGTTCTTTGTCTTGATTTTTAGGAAGTCAAGCCGGATTTTGTGCTCGTGCACTCTTTACTGAGCTTTTTGTTCTGGGGAAGGGAAGGGGAGGGTGGGCAGCAGTCGAGTGAGCCTCTGAGCAAAGGCCTTCTGCAGTTGCTGGGCTGTTCTCCCAGCTTGGAACACTGCACGCTCACTGCAGCTTCCACATGCTGTCATCTGTGGTTGTGGACTGGGAACGTTGCCAGGGTGGGCAGCACAGAGCGTAGTCACACTGGGAGGTTTTCTGACACTACAACACTCCCACTTCCTCTAAGAAACTTCCCTTTCAAGGACTAAAATGGAACAAAAGGTGTGAAAGAAATATAATTCCAAGAGGGAAAATAGTCTACAAAAATCAAGTCCTTGTGGGCCTGGATGCTGATCCATGTTGCTGGTCAGTAAGAGCATCTGACAGGTCTGATTTCCAACTGCTTTATTTAACAGGAAAATGGTTTATTGCTTCTTGAGAGTAGGGGGTGTGTCTTTGTCTTTGCATGGGTAAAGACACTCCAGATTTTCCAACTAGCAAGAGTTAGGGAACTCTTTTAAAACCTAGTCTTGGAGGTACCGAGCAGCTTGGCTTGGTAACACTGTGTGGAAGTAGAAGAATATCTGTTCTGATTTTCCTCTCATCTTTCTTCCACAGCTGTTTCTGTATTCCGGACTTTCCTTCACGTCGGGGTCATGTGGCTTGGAGCACAGGAGCTGGATTTGTCACTTAGCCCTGTCAGGTTGGTGCAGGTTACGAATTACAGGGTGACTTGGAAACCGGGAAACAAAGGGAAGAAACTGTTATGTCTCTTGGCAAAAAAAAAAAAAAAAACTGGCTACAATAATTCAGGCAACTAACACTTCGTCTTTAATGTTCTTCTGTGCTCAGTCCTCCTCACCGTGAGCCGTGAAAACCTCCTGAGCTGTTCTCACTCACAGAATTCACACACACGGAAGGACTGGGTTGGAAGAGACCTTAAAGGTCTTTGAGTCCTAACCGTGCCCTAACACCTCAACTAAACCATGGCACAGAGGGCCACATCCACTCTTTTTTTTAAAGGTATCCGGGGATGGTGACTCCACCACCTCTCTGGGCAGACTATTGCAGAGCTTTATCACCCTTTCTGTAAACAGCTTTTTGCTAATATCCAGCCTCTATTTCCCTTGGTGCAGCTTAAGGGTATGTCCTGTGGTTCTGTCAGTGCTGCCTGGAGAAAGAGACCAACCCCACCTGACTGCAACCTCTTTTCAGGGAGCTGTGCAGTGATAAGGTCACCTCTGGGTCTCCTTTTCTCCAGGCTAAACACCCCCAGCTCCCTCAGTCGTTCTTCACAGGGTTTGTGCTCCCAGCCCCTCTCCAGCCTTGTTGCCTCCTTGGGATGCTCTTGAGCATCTCAACGTCCTTCCCAAACTGAGGGGCCAGAGCTGGACGCAGCACTCAAGGTGTGGCCTCACCAGTGCTGAGTGCAGGGGAAGGGTGACGTCTCTGCTCCTGCTGGCCACACCATTCCTGATCCAGGCCAGGAGCCATTGCCCTTCCTGGCCACCAGGGCACACTGTGCTGCCTCATGTTCAGCCGGCTGTCACCAGTTCCCCCAGGTCCCTTTCTGCTGGGCCCTGTGCAGCCACACCATCCCCAGCCTAGAATGCTGCGGGGGTTATTGTGGCCTCATATGGACCTACCTTGCTTTGGCCTTACTTGCTCAAAAAAAAAATCAGTATTTTATTACTGTGTGCAAACTCAGGGGCAAGATTTTATTCGACATCGCTCAGAGTGACACTAAAGCTGCAGTTTCCCTTTCCTTGAACAGTTTGAGAGACAATACTACTTATGTATTTTTTAATTTAGGCATTTTTATCTTTTTGAAGAACTAGACAGAAAGACTGTGCATGTGTGTGCTCTTAAAATCCATCCTCTCTCTAATACGGGACAGGAAAAAAAGGCTGCAGAGCTTCCTACGATGGGGTGGAAGTGCAAAGAACGAGGAGACAGAAATTTAGTCACGATGATTTACTGTTTCTTGGAGAACCTGGTTGATTTCATGATACCAAAACCAGTATGAATAGAACATTGGACTTGGGAATTGGGACGGTCTTCTTGGGTTTAAAAGTTTGAATGGCACTTCAAGACATTTATATCAAACCTTGTTTATTTTTATTATCCTTTTTTTTAATTAAAAAAAAAAGCTGTGATCCATTGGTATTGCTGCCATGAGTGACAAAAACCCATCTTCCCTCTGCCTGGACCGTGTGAGAGATGGAACTAAACCCCAAAGGATTTTCTGCTGAGTGATTATACGTGAGTTTTATTGGGAATTCTCTGAGAAATCTGATAGGTTGTTCTTGAATGTGGCCCTGAGGCTGGTTGAGCAGGGTAGTCCAGACCTGCAAACAGGCAGTGCCAGAGCAAGAGCCTTTGAAATGTAAACCAGGACGTATTTATTCAATTGAATCATGACTGTATGCTGTGCCCAGGTCCTTTGTACAAATAGTGTACGGGGAAAAACCAGAACTGCACATTGATTGTGATGTGTATGGAATTTTGGGGGGGGTTAAATGAAAATGAAATGCAAATGAGGGAATTGCTTGTACGTGTAAACATTCTTGTCCTAAAGGAGACATCATCTCTGTCCTGAGAGTTGAGTTCAAGTTATATTTCTTTCAAGACCCACAAGCCTTAATTGGGCAAACATAACAGTGGATTAGATGTGTTTAGGTTAATTATTTGGTATAGCTGAAAAGACTTTTTTTGGTTCTTATTTGGTTCAAGGCAAGTTTTTTTTAGTTTTATGGGGTTTTTTGGCATAGATTTTAGAGATTTCATTAAAGGGATTGGACGTGGGTCTTTGTTATTACATTAGGTAGTGTGGTTGTGGGTAATTGGAGGTGGCTTTTTTGGTGGAATTTTTTTGAGTTTTGTTTTTTAAAATTTATATATTTGTGTGCTTAGGGCAGTGGTGCTTCTGCTGCAATTCTAACCATCCATTCTTGATTGTGCATTTTAGATGGTCCATTCATGTTATGCCCAGACTCCCTTACAAATGGGCCAATAGATCCAGTTCATCTCTCTGGTGGGAAGTTAGGCTTCAAGTGATGAAGCCTTGATCTTGTTCATTTGAAGGTGTCACCCGGGTAGCCTTCAGGAACGGCTGAGGAGTTGCCATAAGTTAGGGAGGCAGTGAGGAGGAGCCACGGTCCACTCAATTTTCAGCAGTGATCATCCCCTCTTAACCCAGGGGTACCCTGCGAAGACAGCATCCATCTTTGTGCCTTACCGCTTTGAAGGGATTATCAGAAACCGAGGCGTCCATCTTACCATCTCTGATCTTAGCGTTCCTCTGCGTCACGATCCATCCTAGAGGACAAGATTCGCGGAGGTTCTTTTCATTGATCTCAGGGTGCAAAAACTGACACGACAAGGGGATTTTGCAGTAAAATCAAAGCAAAAGTACTTTTTTTTGAATAACCACAGCAAAAATGCGTTAGGGAGAAGGGGAATGAAGAGAAGAGAAAGAATAAGGAAAAAAGAGAGAGAGAAGGGAAAGGAGGTGTATAGCTACCAGATGTGCGGATGACAAGGTCCCTCGAAGTCCAGTCGACGAAGAGCCTGTCATCTTCACGTCAGGGGAGATCTCCCGGGGTACTAGTCAGCTTTAATCTCTTTTATAGTCCTTTTGATTGGGGGAAGGACACACACTTTCAAAACAGTCTATTGAGAAAGGGTACAAAGAGTCCATCAGCAGAAGGCGTCGTCAGCAGTAGGCGTCATCAGTCGGCATTGTACAGAAAGTCCATCAGCAGCAGGAAAAAAACATTTTCTTCTCGGTCCAGCGGTTGCTTGCAAGCTCGCTTTGGTTACCGGGCCTTTCCCACACACGCCTTCCCCCACCCTACAGTAGGGATTTCAGTCTCAGTCTTTTAGGGAAGAAGAGGGGGCTTTTCCATGGGGGGGTCGCTTGTCTCAGTCCTCGAGGGGAGAACCTTCTCCCCTCTCCGTCACGGCGGTTGTTGCGCGGTGAATGGAGGGTCTTTTGCGGTGACCAGCGAGAAGGTCATTCCAGAGAGAAAGTACAGCCAAGTCAGGAGACTCCAAGTCAGGAGAAATTCCAGGGCCAGCGTTGCTAAGCGACGCAGGCGAAGGAGAGCACACTGCCCTTTCTCGGGTGCAGTGTTCCATGAGTCGAGCAAACACACCCGTAGACAATAATTTGGCTTAGTGGACCAATCAGACCTGGATTTTCAGAACAGGATCTTCTCCTTCCCTGGTGGTCTCAGACTTTCATGACGATCGAGAGGCAAAGAACGCAGGAAATTTCGGACAGACGCTCACACTCTGCCCAGTGCTGATTCCGTCAAAGCTTTTACTTGCCATCTCGGACAGTCAGGAGCATCGCACCTATTTTTGCAGCATTCACTTAAATGTCTTTTAAGGTATTGTTCTGAGGTGTTCTTGACAGCTGTGCACTGCAGCAATCCCTTATAGAGGATTAGGACTTGTACGGAGACTAAGTTAGGTAGAGGATTCTGAGACGCGAGCGAGCGGCTCCCGCCCAAAATTCCACACGGCGCAGGATGCCTCCCATACCCAAGCTACCACCACCGGCAACTGTAGCTGCCTTGACAGTCCCAAGGACTTCCTGCAAACTGACACCAGGAACCCGGGCCGATGAGTTTTGTTTCCTAGCAAAAAGCCCTGCATCGTCGCTCAGGGCCCTGTGGCCCTGAGTGGCCGGCTGCCTGGTGAAATTCCACAGGGAGCACGACGCCCCCCAGACCAAGCTGCCACCAGCACAAACTCACGGTGCTGGGAGAATCCTAAGCGCCTGCTGGAAATTGACATCAGGAGCCCGGTGTGAGCGTCTGTCAGAAATTTCCTGCATTCTTTGCCTCTCGATCGTCATGAAAGATTGAGACCACCAGGGAAGGAGAAGATCCTGTTCTGAAAATCCAGGTCCGATTGGTC